GTGAGAGTATAAACAGTCTCTATATGGCCTGTGATGAACTTGCAAGCTGTGTAGGGTGAACACCACCCTTATCACAGTGACAGCTGGACACAACCATGACCCCTTGACTCAGAAAAAAAGCAGGTAAACATAATTTAAAAACTGTATTTTGGTTAGTCTTGCCATTCTGTCTGTCATTAAAAACAGAAGTCTCTTCAACATCATCTGGTACTGTTAAATTTACACAGAAAAAAACATCCAGACTGTGCCATTATGGTATAACAAACTACAGATTGAATTTAAAACAAATTTCTTTCTTTCTGTCCTCAAGAATTTCTTGAAAACTCATCACTTCAGAAACTTGACAGGTCAAATTACCTGAACACATCTAACCTGAATACAGTGTTTTCCATGCATATCTGTTCTACTTATACTCTTAGATTTAGTATCAAAAGCTTACATGGTTTATAATGTAATAAAATGGTGTCTGAGCTGTTTTGCATAAAAGTGTCTGCCGAATGACCATGTAAACATGTGACTAAATGAATATTATGCATTATCAAAAGCAACAATCTGGGAGAATCACATTTAATGTTTTCTGTGATGAGAACCTGTGCTAGTAATGTTAAATGGGATGTTTAACTTGCTTGTTAAAAAAGGAACAGAGAAGTGTGTCACTTTGTAGTGTGTGTGTGTGTGTAGGTGTGTGTTTTTGTGCTGCCATCTGGTTTCAAATGGCACTTTTGAGAGCTTTTATCATCTGGCTGTAATGGGCCCATGTAAAGTGTGAGCCGTTATCTCTGTGGGTTCATGGGCTATAATCCCTTTTCAATATTCTGTTTGGGTTTTGGCGCATGATTAAATATGGCAAATGTGTAGATCTGCAAAAGCTGAGCAGCAATAAAACAGAATCAAAGCACAGAACTGGTTTGCTGAACAACACACAGAACTGACACAAGAAAACTGCCTCATGATGTATCAGCTTGTCTCTTGTACTGGTGAGGAACTTGTGGATTAGTTGTTGGTGTCACCTTCTAACCTGTATCCTCCTTCCTCTTGAAGCACCAATTAGTTTCTTATTAGCATTCAAATTTATATGCACGGCCGCACCTACACTTATAAGACACCTCAGCTTCGTCAGTTTTGAAGTGGGCAAACACAATGTGCTTTTCTGATCAAATTAATATACCAATTAGGAAGAAAGAAAACTGGCTTCCCAAGGGCAGTTTTGCCCGGGCTCTGCTAATTAAATCAGGGAAACATGAGTGATATGCTTCTTGATTAGAGCTGACAGCTAGATCCTTGGTAGATACAGCTGCAATTGGTAAGACTGCACTCTAATGCTTATATACAAGTGGACATATTTAAATTGCATAAAAGTGGGTAAAAAATAATCAAAAATTTGTCAAAGTTCTTGGCTAGAAAAAAAAGTCAGCATTAAATATACAAAATGTGTATAATGAACTGTAGATTTTAGTTTTGCATATAGTTATTTCATTAATTATTTTCTGGGAAAAAACTATGTAAACTACCCATCTACATATTACTTTAATACTTTACTTTACTTTAAAAACTTTATTGTCATGTTGCATGCACAAGGTGTATACAAAACGAAATTTCGTTGCATACGGCTCAGGACAGTGTTTTGAGCTTTCAAAAATACATTATAAAAAATGTATGTAAATATAAAAATATAGAGTGCAGGAATGACAGTAAAATAGAAGTTCTTTAGTTCTGTACATGGGCAAGATATAACGTGGAGACCAGATTTTAAGTGCAGTGCGGTTAAGAGTTCAGCAGTCTGATGGCAAGTGGGGAAAAACTGTTTCGGAACCTGGAGGTCCTGCACCGGATGCTGCGGAACCTCTTTCCAGAGGGCAGCAGGGAGAACCATCCATGGTGGGGGTGTGAGGGGTCACTGACGATGTTTYGGCCTCGGGACACGCAGCGCTGGGATGAAAGGTCCTGAATGGAGGGAAGGGGGGCCCCGATGATCCTCTCTGCTGTCCACACCACTCTCCTCATGTTCTTCCAGTCGGAGGCGCTGCAGCCTCCACACCACACAGAGAGGCAGCTGGTCAGAATGCTCTTTATGGTGCTTCTGTAGAACGTCTTGAGGATGGGCGGGGGCAGGTGTGCTCTTCTCATCCTCCACAGGAAATACAGACGTTTCTGTGCCCTCTTGACCAAAGACGTGGTGTTTACAGTCCAGGAGAGGTCGTTAGTGATGTGCACCCTCAGGAATTTGGTGCTGCTGACCACCTCCACAGCCGAACTGTTGATGAGCAGTGGAGCGTGGCTGGGCCGATTCTTCCTGAAGTCGACGATCATCTCCTTAGTCTTGTCAACGTTCAGGATCAGGCTGTTCTCTCTGCACCAGTCTACCAGCTGCTCCACCTCCTCTCTGTAGTCCAGGTCGTTGTCGTCTGTGATGATATCTACCAACCCATGTATTTATCTACCCATCTATCCAACCATCCCTCCATTCATCTGTTCTCCCAGTTCCTATTGATCATCTTTGAAAGCACAAACAGCTCTAGCCATCTTTCAGTTTTGTCAACTTCTCAAATATCCATATATGATCCCCAACTTGTTTGCCAGCTCTCTTGGGCTTCAGTGTGGCAAATAAATCATTTGTTTACCGCTCAGTTGGAAGGCAAGCTCCCAAATACAATCAGTCTCTTCAACTTGTAAACAAGCTGTTGACACAGTGATATTGAGTGAGTCAGTAAGTTAGTAATCTCTTGCTCGAGGCTAACCTTTGCAATGAGCTGAAATGCAACTGTGACTTGCGAGAACATGTGTTTTAATTAGATTAAAATACAACAAAAAAATAAACAGTCAAATCTGAGTTCTTCTGATCAAAAGCGAGCTGTTTCTCTCTGGGCATTTGTCTGTCAGTTTTCATTATTTTGCTGACTTCACAGACGCAGTTTCAGGATGGCATATTATTGTATTATTTCAACATACAAATTTGAAATTATGTAGGTCACAGTATATTTTAGTTTTCCTGCCTTTATTGTTGATGTAAGCATGTCCATATCAGAACAGATCATAAAAATAACCCTCAACCTTTCTGATTCAGTGCATATTTGCATGTTTTTCTTGTTTAAAATATGCTGTTGGATTTCTGATTTCTTGTTGTGCCTTTTTTATTCTTCCAAAATAGCCTGAAACAATACATTGCCTTTGCCTTATTTATAAATTTAATCAATTTAGAAAACCTTGATTTTGATTAAATGAATAAAAACAGTTGTGTTAAGTTTAAATACTCTCAAATTTGAGAAAATCCACAATGAATTTTAACTTGTGCACCCAATTTTTATTTTAAAAATCATTGAAGTCATATATTGTGTAACCATTCCAAGCTGGGAAATGAACTTTTCAAATCACCTATTAAAAGCATTAAACAGACATATTTCATGCCCATGATACTTGAGCATATTCAAACTTTAACCACGTCTACCATCAGTGGAATTTCAGGTTTTATTTGGTGCATAAAACTGCATTTTGCTCTGGATGACAACGCAACACTAAAAACATGTCTTCAACTAAAATGTATAGTAATCTCATAATCCAAAGGTTAAATCTCATGTCATGTACAAAGGAAATTGAGTCTTATTTTAATCCAATTACCAGCATATGCAGTTTTAGCAGCTACTTATGCACAGATGCCACTCATTTACATACTGTATCAGTTATTTTTTCAACGTAGGTAGCACTCTTCTTTACCATGCCATTTACTCATTGATGGTGAATGACAGCCAGCGCTGGCTCCCTGAAGACAAGGCATGATCAGTAGGAGTTGCACTTAATCACACTGCATTCAAATGTGCACTGACTTCAATTTGACTTTTATGTGGCAAGACTCTTTGTTTCCCTTGAGTAATGATCAAGCTTTTATTTGTGTTCTAATTTCTCTGTGTCTCTTGTAAATTCCAGTATTATTCAACTTGTCTTTGCGGGAGTTTCTTCAGTTTTGTTTTTAAAATGAAAACTACAGTAGCAGCTTCTGCAGGTGGTCTCCATTAAACTGGGTCATTTTAGAAATCACACTATTTTATGCCCACAGAAGACATTGTTCCCATAATCATCTGTAAGCCTTGCAATGGTTTTTGTGATGTTATCGTTTGCTTTATTTTCTGATGTAAGCAAACACAGGAAGTGCTCTTTTATTTGGCATTTTTAAATTCAGTAACATGGTGAAATAAAGCTCTTACAAACACAAAATCTTTAAGCCCATTGTAAGTTTAAACTTTCAGATTTTTTGTGTAAATCTTTGAGTACAGTACAGTACAGTATATCAATCAACCTGCAAAATGAGGGAAAATCCATGACATGCAACAGTCAGGGCAAAATATATTTATAAATAAATGAACAACAAAGACCCAAAATCAATCGCTTGAGCTGCTGCTTTCACAAAAAGAGTGCAAACATGTCGGTATCACTAATTCTCTCTTCTAGTGATGAGTGTCAAACATGATTATGTCTGAAAGTAAAGTGTCGAAACAGTGTGCCAAACCTTGTTTGTGGTGCAAAATACAAGACTGCCTTATTATGGAAATTTTCTGCAGACAGTAATTCACAATCAAAGATCCAGATTCAACACACAGAACTGAAAGCCATTACTTTGTGGGATAATTGTTGCAGACCCACTGTCTCACCCTCATGTCCTCTGTGGGAATAACCAGTTGGCAGCTGTTTTAAAGGTGAGGGAACTGTGGTCGAATCCTCTGTGTAGGAAGGAAAGCAGGCAGCACATGTAGTCCATGGATCATTTAAAAATATAGTGTGGCAAGTGGTGATCTTCTGGGGCTATAACATTAAAGTTTGGTTGTCACCAACAACCAATAACTTTCACCCAGAAAATCAAAAGTCAAGACACACGTACGGTTTTGCAAAAAGCAGGAGACAGTTTTCAAGTACAGAAAGTTGTTTTATTAAAACACAAAATGTGAAAGAATGATTAAAAAACAAACTTCAAAAAATGAAAACTAAAGAACACAAACTACTAATGCTCAGCTACTGAGGCTTACCGGTAGGTGCCAGACCTATTCTGGACGAGCGGCTCCCAAAGACAAACTACTACAAACACACGTGAAACCACACTCACTCCTTGGGTTTCCCTCCACCTGTGTTGATCACCGCAAGCATGCACACACAAAAGGGACACCGCCATCCAGGTCAACCACACCACCGTCACTGGTCCTCAGCACTGAGCTAAAAGAATAAAAACAAAATTAGAAACAAAAAAATAAACAAATACCAAAAAGACAATTAATTTACAGATAAAATTGGAAAGTTGTGGTTTAAAAATATCAGCAGAGAAACAATTGATTCCACCAGACTGTTGATAGTAAACCTCTGCTTCCCCTCCTCCATGGCGTGGGCGTGTCTTCGAGCGCCACGCCTCAGTCAAACATTTGGTAGGAACACAGGAGAATCAAAATGAGGCAAAGCAGCAGCGGGGCTGATGGGGTCAAGTTAAAAGCTGCCACCCACAATTCCTGATAAAACATTACATTAACAGGTTAAAAACAATTTACAAACAATAAGAGTCAGTGCATAGTGTCCACATACCGATCATGCCAATCTCCTCTCTCACTTGTGGGGAGATCACGTAAGGGCACAAACTCTGGCCACAGCAGCCACTACACYCACAATCAGTGGTGAGGGCAAACATGCCGACAGTTATCTGCTGGTGCAGAAGTTTATAAGTAACTGTGCTGAAACAATTACAAGTGTGCATGACAGCCAACCTCACCTGCACTTGGCACCCAGCAGGCACAACACTGGACCACACGGTGACGTGTCTTCAGCCAACCAATCTAATCTAAACCTGCAGTTTACCTGTGCTTTTTATAGGGAGCACCCTCTAGTGTCATTGGCTGCCACAACAACACAATTACCCTGCCAGCAGGTGCAATTCATCCTGCCACATATATTAAGTAAACTAAATGATTTATTTGGATCTCTGTACTTCATCTGTAAAAGTTTAAAGCTCACTGTGGGAAAACATTTTTTTCTTTCTTTGTGTCACTTTTGGTGCTGACATGTTTGTGACATACAACCAGATTTCAATTGTGAAACAAGAACAAGACGCTTTAATACAAAGGAGAAAAAATGGCTATTTGCTCACATCTGCTGAACTTGATGGGGATATTAATCCTAGCATATGATTTCTGCTATTCTTTTTGATGTATATGATGCAAAGACAGAGGATGTAGAGGGAGCTAATAAAGAAATAAAGATGCAACTGATAGCCCCCACTGAGCTATTTTCTGAATTTGAGAATTTGTGTGAAACTTACTGACAATAAGTCAACATCAAGGCTAAAAAATCTAAAATGTATTTTCTGTAAACACCATTTTAAGCCATCTTTTATGATCTTTTAATGTTGCTTTTTTAGAAATATATTTTTTTACTTGCATCTTGTCATTTCAAAGGGCTCTAAGGGTTGTGCGAAAAGTCAATGTGACTCGCATGGTTTGCTTTGTTGCAATGTGACTGAATGTAAATAAGCTCAAATCAAAGGTGATAAACACGCTTCACCACGAGGCTCCTTATCTCTCAATAGGGAGCAGCTAAAGCCTCAGATGAAAAGGCTCTTACGCACTGGGATCTTGGAGGAAAATGATGTAAGTTCACTGTCAGAGTCATTTTGAATTGTATGTCACTCAGTTTTCATGCTTGAGTTTCATAGTTTAAAGAAGTTGGTTTTATTACAGATGAAACCATTTCAGTGACATGCGACTAGCAAATTTCACTTTAAAGCTCCCTTATCACACTACCAGTTTGTGTATACATTGTTGAAATCACCACCTTGTTTGATCCCCATGGTTTCCCTTGCTGTAAATCTACATCAGTCTTTGCTTTTATTTCAAGTGGAGTTTGAGAACAATGCTGTAAGAGCACACACAGGAAGGAGATCTGCTGCATTTAATATTTAAATTTTTTTTACCAACATTTCTAACAACTGAGCCATTGTAAGTCAAAATAAATCAGTTGGTGGAGGAAAATCGTTTTACGAAGAGAGGTACTTCAATACAAAATTTAGATTGAACCAAGAATGCAATATAGCAAATCACAAAAGCGAATCTAAGAAGCCATCCAGAATACATCAGAGAATCATAATATGTGATAACTTGTGCTGTTGAATGGTATGATTTATTCGTAATTAATTCATTGTATGTGTTTTCTGTTCTGTGAGTGTTATTTTCTCTCTTGGTTTTTGTCCCTTTGTTTTTCTGATGCTGTGATTTCCTGTGTTTTCTATGTAATTTGTCCCCCATTAATTTTATTTTATTTTATTTTATGTATTTTTTGGCTTTGGTTTTGGCCTCACCCTATCTTACCTTTTTCTTGTGTCTCTCCTCCAGGTGTTTCCCATTTTGCTTCTTGTTAGTTTGCCTTTGTTTTATGTTTCCAATTCTCAATTTCTTAAAGGTATTAATCTGCCAAAGGACAGTTAAAAAATTGAGACAATAGTTGACTTATAATTGTATCAGAAAAAAATGCTTTCATTATCAAAGCTCCATCAAAGCAAAGGGAGTATTAGAAAGACAAAAAAAATAAAGCTGCAAGACACATTTTTTTCCTAATTATGTTTTTTGTTGTTTCTCCTCTAGTGGTTTCAAGGTCCTGATCTCAACAGGTTAGAGCTTCATTTCACAGTGGCAAAAAAAATATGGAGGAGGTTGACTTCGGGCTTTTAATTAGATCTCATTAGCTAAATAATTGCATCAGTAATGCTCATAATGAACTCTAATTACTTGTGGAGGTCTGAATGAGGAAATCAGTGGTGGGCATAGGTAGGTAAGGCAGAGTTCATGCATGCTGCAGGTGACTCTCCTTGGGGAAATTTGCTTGACAAGACGCGGAGGATTTATATTCACTTATCCATATGATAACATGGGAAATAAATTAGCTCTGTCTGAGACCTTGTCACATTGTTGGGTCAAATTTCTATTTGTGTTTAAACAGAAATCACTTTTTTACATGCCATTATTTGGGAATATTAATTGCATAAATCTATGGTTTCTTCACTTTAAATATTGTCCTACTTTTGTCTGTGCCCTCCGTGGGCCTTGCTGACTCTTTCCCTTAATCTTGAAGCTAAATGCCCTGCAGTGTTCCCAGATCGGCCAGCTTCCTCCATCTCCTTGGGCTCTATGTCTTTATGTACTTTCAGCCTTGTCATGCTGTCAGAACAGGAGATTAGCCATTCAATCAGGCTAAGGAGCAGTCTCTTCACAGATAAGGCCTGTTCTGAAGGAGCTTCTTCTCCACACTGCACCATATGTCACTTGAGATGGCCCCCCCCCCCCCCCCGCTTATTGACTCGGGACATTTGCATCTTTTCCACTTATTCTTCTTTTGCACCCTGCAACCTTCAAATCTCATCTCTTAGTTTTCTCTTGAACAATCAGAGGTGCACAGTTATTTACTGGTTTTCTACAGCTGCCTATCATTCTGTTTCAAAGCAGTTATTCTCAACAAATGCCCTCTAAATTTCTTTTTTTAAAACCATAAACAAGTGGTAAAAATAAAAAAAATAATGTTCTCTTGTCTCTGTCTGCTGCTGGTGGAGTCAATTATATCAGTTTTATAGTTAGACACTAAAAAGACGAGTGGAGTTGTTGTGCCTGCAGCCATGCTCGGCCCCCTTCTGAGTGTTATAGGCAGCCATTTTCAACTTTAGTTACTGCTCAGCGTGTTGCATCTATATAGACTGACACGTGTGAGACTCAGAAAATAAATTAGCAAGTTTCATAAAAAGTATAATCAGAGAACAATAAACTGTGAAAAAGTATGTTTAACAAAGATTTACTGCTTCGTCTTCTTTTTAATCAGATTCCTTATGTAATGAATGAATGGTGGCTCAGTTTGTAGAGCTGATGTCTCTCAGTGAGAAGGTTGCCAGTTCAAATCCCAGCCCAGGGACCTTTATGGGTAGAGTTTGTATGTTCTCTCGGTGCATGTGTGGATTCTCTCCGGATACTCCAACTTCCTCCCACAGACCAAAAATATGACTGTTAGGTTAATTGATAACTCTAAATTGTCCCTAGGTGTGAGTGAGAGAGATAATGATTGTCTCATGTGTGGCCCTGTGATGGACTTGCGACCTGTCCAGGGTGTACCCCGCCCCTCGCACAGTGACCGCTGGACATGGGCACCAGTGACCCCCGTGACCCTGAAAAGAAGAAGTGGGTATAGATAATGGATGGACAATATATTTTTATTCATATTTATTTATGTACAACCATCCTCCCAATAGTTCACTTACCGAAGAATAAGTAGCAAAAGTAAATGGTCCAGGAGGGAAACTCAAACATCCCCTTTTTTAGCAACACATCTCCAGCTTTTCCTGGAGGACCTCAAGAGGTTCCTAGTTCAAAGAGTTTCTCCCACAAATTCTAAGGCTTCTCCAGGGTCTCCCTCTAACGGCACTTGCTTGGAAAAATCCCTGTAGACAGGTGTCCAGGAGGCATTTTATTCAAATGTTTGAACCACTTTAGATGACTCCTTTCAATGGGGTGGAGCAGTAGTTTAACTCAAATCTATCCACCTTCTTACCATATGGCTTAGCCTTGTCACCCTACAGAGGAATCTCATTTCATCTGCCTAGATAAGGAATGTCATTATTTCATTCCTGACACATACCTCTACTGCTGATTGAAACATAAATGGATCAGTACATTGAAAGCTTTTGATAGGATTTGTACTTGTGTTTGTTTGAATACTGTATTATTTCTACTTTTTGAGAAATTTTATGTTCCTGATTCAGTCCACATTCAAGTTCCCTCTGTTTAGTTTCATAATTCTCTGTTCTGATGTTTAATGTTTAATGATGTTTAATGATGGTCGGTCTTTCTTCACAAAAATGGCTTCTTTTACTCTTCTCTCAAACCAACGTTAAACAGAGGTGGGGGCCTCCGTTTTCAGTTGTCCCCCTCTTACAGTGCTGCCATTGGCAGTATCACTCCACCCCCTGTTAATAGATGTTAATTAGGTGTGAACGATAGCCATGTGATGTGAGTATCAGTCACCTGGAGGCAGGACTCAAAAGCCTGAATTTTACCTGAAACTCTCAGACTGAAGAAGTCTCTTGGAGGAGAGACAAAACGTTTCATTAAAGAAGAACCCGTCCAGAGGACCTACACAATTTTTTTTCTTTTTGATTTTTTACCTGGATTACTGAGATGCATCAGGATATTACTATATGTGTTTGTTCCAGTTACCTTGCTTGTGTCCAATTCCCATGGGTTTCATTTTGTAGAGTTTGCTGAACCTGACAGCATTTTTGGATGTAAATAAAAATATATTTGTTTTAAGAATATTAATCAAGAGGACTCTGTCTGCACTTTGGGTTGCAACTACCAGGAAACATGACATCTTTGACAAATGGCTAAGCTCCTCCTTTATTGTAATGGAATGAAACGGTCAGAAAAGGATGGATTGCTTTCTCCTGGTTCTGAATAAGATTCTGCCTTAAGTGGAGGAGTTCACGTATTTTGGGGTCTTGTTCACGAGTGAGGGTAGAATGGAACATGAGTTTGACAGACCAATCGGTGCAGCTTCCGCAGTTTTGCGGACTCTGTACCGGTCTGTTTTGGTGAAAAGATAGCTGGGATGTAAGGTGAAGCTTTCAGTTTACCAATCAGTCTACGTCCCTACCCTCACCTATAGCCATGAACTTTGGGTAGTGATAGAAAAAACAAGAACACAGATACAGGTGGTTGGAATGAGTTTTCTCTGCAGAGTAACTGTTCTCTCTCTTAGAGATAGGGTGAGAAGTTGAGTTATCAGGGACTTGACTCAAAGTAGAGTTGCTGCTCCTTCAGTTAAGGTGATTCTGTCATGAATCATGTCTGTTTCCTGCCCAAGTCCTGTCACAGTCAATTATCTCCTGAT